TGGCTTCCAGTCTCAGCCTGAACTGTAGATGAGCTCCAGGCTCCAAACCTCACCAGCGCTGGCTCCCTCCTTGCTCCGGGCTGGGAGGCTGACAGAGCCATGGTGGCGGGGGGAGGAGCCTGCCCCACTGCTGCCCCCCACTCACCAGATAGCTCCAGCAAGATAGATGCCCTCCCCCGTCCCTGGCCGGCCTCCCCACTCACTGCCTCCCTGTCTTCCAGAAATCTGTCCTGGCGGCGCTGTACAGCTCCGAGGGCTCCGTCATGGAGGTAAGACGCCTTCCCCCCTCGCTCGCCACCCTTCCTGTGCCTGCTGCTCTCCGGCGCCCGCTTGCCTGGCGCCCCTCTGCCACCGCTGCGTCAGTTCTCAGCCACGGGGTGTCTCTGCAGCTCCGCATGGGCAGGGGGGCCCTGGAGAGATGGGCATGGAGTCCCCCATTTTGGGGACAAGGAGAGAGGGCACGTCAGGGAAAGCCCAGGGCCTGGGAGTGGAATATCGGGGATCCCTCCCTGTTCCCCACAGCCCAGCCCTGTGGCCATCTGCCACAGCTGTAAGGAGCAGTGTCCTGCCCCGCTTGCCCTGGGCGGGGCAGGTACATGCACTAATGGGGAAGCTGCCTATGGTGGCAGCCTCTCACTAACACAGTCCTCCCTGCTGTGCCTCGGTTTCCCCCTGCAGAGACACCACTTCGCCCAGGCCATCGCCATCCTGAACACCCACGGCTGCAACATCTTCGACCACTTCTCCCGCAAGGTGAGCGGGGACTCGCTGCCGGCACCCCTCGCTCCTGAGGGGCAGCCCCCGCATTCGTCCAGCCCTGGGCCCCTTGCCCCGTCTGTCGATGCACCTTGCGCCTGACCCGAAGCAGCCCCGGCTAGTCCCATCTTTGCTGTGTCCAAAGCCCCTGACTCCCGACCCCCCGGCACTCCAGCCAGGCCACGCTCTACCAGGTTACATGTTCTCCATGGACTCCAGGCATGGGCTGAGTCCATTTCCCTTTCGGGCGGGGGAACCTCGGGATTGGAGCCCTGCTCTCTCGGTGTGAAAAGCCAGCCAAGTGCGGCACCTCACTGACACCCCGTCCCAGAGGGGTGAGCCGGCCTGGGCTTCCCTCCTGGGTTCCTTCAGCCACTCACCCGTCCAGAGGCAGAGAGCTCCGTTGCGCCAGATTCGGACAAGCTGCGCCTCCCTGCTCCGGGATCCGAGCAGCCTTGGGTTTCTGCTTCCTGGGGAAACTCGCACTGATTAAACAAAGCCCCCAATCCAGCCGCAGGCGCTGCTGGATAGAAGGACCGTGCGGTGGAAGGAAGCACGGACTAGTGGTTAGAACAGGCAACGGGGATGTGGGGCCCGTTCACCATCCACTGCGTTCTTTGGTGATCTTGGCGGAGTCCCTTGACCGTTCTGAGTGGATCAGGCTGCTGGGGTAGGGTCACGAGGCACTGGGCACTCAGCTGCGGTGCGATTGGCCCTTGCAGGATTACCAAAGGATGCTGGATCTGATGCGGGACATTATTCTGGCCACGGATCTTGCTCACCATTTGCGCATCTTCAAGGACCTGCAGAAGATGGCGGAAGGTAAAGGCCCCGGCGCACGGGCGACCGGAGAGGGCACGTGCTATGTGAAACCAACGCTAGCCAATGCTCCCAGATCCTGGCTCCGGGAGTCTGGCCCAGGGAGGGCGGCAGCAGCCGTCCGAGGGCTCCTGTGGGATTCACAGCGAGACGAGGAAAAGGTGCCGGGGTCTGTGCTTAGAGACAGCAGCACGCGTCCCTAAGGCGTGGAGTGCAGAGGTCTGGCCAGGACAGCTGCAGGTTGTTGTGCTCCTGTCTGACCACTGGGGGCAGCACCGCTCACTCCTTGGCTCCCTTGCTGTGCCCCAACGCCCCGGGGGCAAACGCTGGGGGCTGCTGATTCCTGGGAGGCCACTGACTCCAGCTCCACCTTGTTCCCAGTCTGACAGATGCTGGGAGCAGCGCACGCCCCCCGCCCCCCAGTGTAGGGCCCATCAGCCTCAAAGGCTCCTAACTCCCCTTAGCACCCAGGGGCGTTAGGCTCCTGAAGCCCTTTGAGAATCTGGGCAGGAGCAGTTTTTCCGTCGCTGAGCACGCTGGGCTCCCCGGCAACGGGCAACGGACAGCCGCTCTGCTGCATCCGGGGCAGGCTGGGGAGAGGGGCCGCCGGCCCCAGGGCTGGGACTGGGAGCGTGGCCCCACATCTGGCCCACTGGCGCCCAACCACTCAGCACTTGTCCCGCTTCCTTCCCTAGTCGGCTACGACCCGAAGAACAAGCAGCACCACAGCCTGCTGCTCTGCCTGCTCATGACCTCCTGCGACCTCTCGGACCAGACCAAGGGGTGGAAAACCACCAGGAAGATCGCTGTGAGTTCTGGCAGGGCCCGCCTGGCCCCCCCTCTGCCGCAGGAATGGCTGGGGCCA